GCGGAGTGGTTGGCTAAGGTGCAAGAGGAATACCGTCTAATCGATGTCAACGAATTCGCATGCACCAACAAAACTCAGCGCGACCATGTGGTGGAATCAGCTATCATCTATCAGAACTTTGACAGGTGCCTCCTCGGCTTGGAGCCACTGACCACTGTTCCACCCGCTGAATCCACCCCAGAGCAAAGGACTGCCGCTGAAGATGAAGATGAAAATGAAGGTCAAGATGAAGTTGAGGATGAAGATGAAGATGAAGATGAAGATGAATTTGAAGATGTAAATGGTAAATTGGCTCAAGCGCTACTAAATATCTTCAAAAAACATGACTATTCAATAATCTATTAAATACAAGTATTATTTATACAATTATATTTATTGTCAAAAAAAAAAAAAAAATACATATATATTTCACTGCATATCCAGTTCCAATTGTTAAATTTTTCTAGATTATTTCAATAAATAACTATTTTTAACAATGGACTCGGCTGATCGTGAGTTTCTTTAGAATTGAGGAGAACTGAACATTCAATCGAACAATGGAAAATCTTAATTTATTTAATCAAATAATAATTGAGTTTAATTGGAATGGCGCAACTTTAAACTGTCTCAGCGATTGGAATCGTCTAGTCTATAAATAAAATTACTATCTAATAGACTTTCTTTCAGCTCTTTACTATGCTAACAATATTTTTTGTAAAATTCATAATAAACGTAGATTTGGACTAAGAACTTATAAATGCCTATAGTTTATCGCCTTGATAAGTTTCACTGTGTCAGCTCATAAAATTTGTAGTAGTAACTACAGTGATACCTCCACTGGTGCACCTGAGCGATAATTGTAGTAGTTAGCCTTATCTAGTGCCGGCCATGCTCATGCATTGGCCAAACGTGTTGGCCTTGTGATAATATTGACAACACTCACTGGACTAGTGATAGCTAGTGTCTTCTTCATAATTGTCTTCGGAGCGATGCAATCATTATACGAGGTTTGCGCATTTGATTAGTTTTTAATCTAAAATCTATTCGAAACTTCCTCTAGATAATTGTTCATGCAGTCCAATTTTGGCAGCTATATAAGCAATGCCCGCATAATTTGGCAATCAGTTCAGTTAATACATTCGCCCACGTCAAGGATATATTCATAATTTGGAATAGCTGTGCAGAAAAATAATCACAAAAGAAAAAAAATAAAAAAGTGTTCACTATGAAATATACAATTGCTCTGTGCTTGGTGCTAGTTGCTGGCTGCAATGCCTTCTACGCCACCCAGGATGTTGACTTCCAGCCATTCCTGACGCGCCAGCAAAATGCGATGCGGTTCTTGATCTCTGCTCAAGCTGCCAATACTGATGCCGATCTGGTCAGCATCTGCTTTGGTGAATACCTCGACAGCCAGCAAAATGCCATGGGTAGCTACAACAAAATATACACCGGCTGCGTGAACACAGCTCAATCGGAAAAAAATGAGTTGACCTCTCAGAGTGCTGCGATACGCAAGGACTTGCTGTCGCGCAGCGATAACATGTGCGGTGTCCTCAGCAGCTGTGATAAATATGTCGATGGCCTCCAGTTCTTCGATTGCTACCGCAATGCTGTAAGTACTCATTCCTTATTTATGATCCTAACGAATCGATTAATATGTCGCTTCGTATCTAATAAAATTTTACTACTTCTTATTTGAACTATTTTTCAGTCCACTGACAGCTACAAAATAATGTTCACACTGAACAGCGATGCGAATATTCAATTCAATACGATTTCTGCTAAGTACGATATCATCAATTTCGATTTGAAAACATGCGTGGATACTGCTCGTCTGGATTATGCACGTGAACTTGAGAAATGTGATTCAGATTTCAATGCTTGCCTTAATGGTGGTGTTGAGCCAAGTACTACTGAAGCCCCAGTCGTCACTCCCGAGCCTCCAGTTGCCACTACAGAGGCTCCAGTTGTCACTACCGAGGCTCCAGTTACCACTACCGAAGCTCCAGTCGTCACTACTGAAGCTCCTGTCCCCACTACCGAGGCTCCAGTCGTCACTACCGAGGCTCCAGTTGTCACTACCGAGGCTCCAGTCGTCACTACCGAGGCTCC